ATCCCAGGGTGGGGTTCCAAATGCTGACAAAACCTGCCGGATTCCTTTTCTTCCCCGAATTCCTTGGACTTGGGTTTTGGGGCTGAGCTCAGCTGCCAGACCAGGAGCTCGTCTGGGTCTGAGGAGCAACACAGGGACCTTTGTTTTCCTTTTGTGCTCCACATTTGAAGGTAAATAAAACGTTTTCCTGTTTCTTTGCCACCGAGTTAAATATTCTGCGTGGAATTCGGGCTTGTCTTAGGGAGTTTTAGGCGAAAGTGTTGGGTGTTTGCTCTGTCTGTGAGGCTTTTGTGTACACACACAGCTGGTGCTCGTGTATAAATACGTTTGTGGAGCAGGTCAGGGTTTGTGCTGCTTGAAAATCTGGTGTGGGAAGGGAAACTTGAAGAAGTCTGGTGGATTCCTGGTGCTGAAGTGCCCCTTTTTTGTGTGCTGTTCCAGGAGTTCCCTGCTGGAAGGCTGGTGCAGGTGGTGCTCTGTGTTTGTTCCAAACCTGCCGCTGGGCAGGCTGGGCTGGGGCAGTTTTGGGGGGAGTTGGGCGGATCACGTGGCTGATGGTGGTGCTCCAGCGGCTCTGGCAGGGATGGAATTCTCTTCCCTAAGTGCTTCCTTTCCCTTCCCATGCTCTTTGGGGGCCCTACAACCCCTGGTCCTTTTTGGGGTCTGTGTTCAGCTGCCTCTGCAGTTTGCTTGTCCCTGGGAAGCCCAGCAGTGTGTGGAGCCTGGGCTGGGATGTGGCCTCTCTTCCTGCCATCCAGGTGTTCCAGCACCATTCCTTGGAGGCAAACAGCCGTCCTGCCTCTCCTCCTGCTCCAGGACAGATCCTGCCGTGCTGCCCCTCTGTGTCCTGGTGTGTCCAGAACATTCCCAATGGAGTGAACCGGGAGCCTGGGCTTGGTCTTGGCTCTTGGAATTGGGATCCCAGCTCGGATCCTGCCGGATCTGGAGATGGCAGCAGGAATGTGCCCGGAGGCAGCTCCTGGGTGGCCCAGGTGTGGGAGGATTTGGGAGCAGTGTTCACCTCTGTTACCCTGGGAATCTTTTCCTGAGCAGGCAGGGGATCCAGCTGGAATGACAGACCACCCATAGGAGGGGCTGCCTGGGCTCTGCCAAAACCAGGCTGGGCCTGGGCTGGGCTCAGCACCCTCAGAGGAGCTGGAGCATCCCTGGATCAAGGGATAACGTGGATGGACACTGGACAAACCAGGCTGAGGCACATCCTGCTGAAGGTGTTTGTCCCTCCAGGGCTCTGTGCTGGCAGGTGCAGCGTCTTGTGTGGCACCTGAGGAAGCTCCAGGTGCTGAGGAGGAATTCCCAGGTGCAGGAGGATGGCTGGGAATGCCTTACTGCTTCCTGACCCTGGTGGAGGCGTGTCCAGGCCGCTGTGGCAGGAGCTGGATGAGGAATGGTCCAACCAGGAGCTGTATGAGGAATGATCCAACCAGGAGTCCCTTGTGAGGGCCCACGGGCTCTGCCAGGGCTGGGGCAGGTGGAGCCCCTCATCCCCCACCGGACACCATCGCTGTGCTGGGAACAGCAGGGAAGAGGAGAATCCAGGTGGCTCCAGAGGCTGGTTTGGCCGTCAGAGGAACACCGAGGAACCTGCAGAAGAGATCTGGGTCTTGGGCTGTGGCGAGGGGAGGTGGATGTGACCCCATCCCTGGGGATATGGTCAGTCCTGGAACAGCTCACGGCACAGGCACAGCAGCTCCCCCAGCCTGGCGGTGCACAGCCATCTTTATTTATCTGCTCTGCAATTAGCACAGAGCCAGAAAATTCCCTGCTATTTATAGGGACAAATCAGGAAATTCTCCGACCAGTGGCTCGCCAGACTTTCTCTGCAGATAAACCCTCCTGGGGACTCCACCCTCTCCTGGGGTGCCAGAGCCAGCCTGGCAGTGCCCCGGGGGGATGTTTGGGTGGGTGTCCGTGTTGTGCTGGGACTGGCAGGTGTTTGGTGCTCCCAGTGATCGTGGATGCAGCTCCAAGGACTTGGAATTGCTTCTTGTGACCTGCAGCACTCAGAGCTTGGACTCCACGAGGCCCTGGGGGAGCTGGTGACAGGGGCAGGGGGTTGAAGAGCTGCTGGGCTGGGTGTGAGCAGCCCCTCTGCTCCAGCCCGGGTGGGACTGGGAGGAACTGGGACTGCTCTTCTCCCTCCCTCCCTCCACATCACCTCCCTGATTTTCCCCTAAGGGTTCCTCCAGGGCCAGGCTGGACGGGGCTCGGAGCAACCTGGTCTAGTGGAAGGTGTCCCTGGGTGGGCTGTGAGGTCTCTCCCCCCCAGACCATTCCATGGCTCCGTTGTCACTGCAGCCCCAGCTCGGGCACTGCTCTGGAATGCCGGGGGTGTCCCTGTCCCAGCAGTTCCCAGACACTCTCCAAACAAAGCTGCTCTGAGGAGGGAGGGGAGACTCTCCCCTGACATCCCTGACCATTGTTTCCTTGGTCTTGGCATTTCCTTAGGCAGCACTTCCTGCTGTCACTTCCAGCCTTTCCTTTGGAAAGGTCACTGCAGACCCCAGCTGACAGTGGCTGCCTTGCACGCTGCTGCTGTGCAGCACCTCCTAAAATCCCTCACTGGTTTGGGGGGGAAAGGCCCTTAAATCCCACCCAGTCCCACCCCTGCCCTGGCCAGGCACACCTTCCATAGCCCCGGTTGCTCCAAGCCCCGTCCATCCTGGCTCAGCCTCCCTGGCCAGGTGAGGAGTGATGAGCTGTGGCAGTGCTTCCAGATCCTGGTGTGGGATCATCCCTGCTCCCAGCACACAGGTGACCCAGTGACCTGCACCACCTTATTGGTAAAACTTCATCCCGCTGGAATTCTGGCTCGTTCTCTCCTCTGGGAGGTTCCTGACCTGTGCAATTAGGGTTGGTTGTGTTTAAAACTTGCTCTTCTCAACTGTTCATGGTTGTTCTGTCAATGGGTGGCTTTCAGAGTGTTCCCTCTCCAGATGCTTCCCCCAGGAATGCGCTGAGAGGGATTTTTTGCCATCCAGTGCTGAGAGTTCCAGAGAAACCCCAAACTGAAAGGCAGGAGATGGCTCAGGGTGTTTGTTCATGTCTGTTTGGAAACTGTCTCGGGCAAACTTGGCCTCACATGCAGCTCCTGTTGAAATCCCACTGAACTTGTGGAGGGAGGAGGGATATTGGGCAAGGAGCTCTGGATGAGAGGCCAGAGTTTGGGATTGCTGTCTGGGAATCTGGTTATTATGGCTCCTTGTGTGCAATAGGATTGATGTTCCTCCTCACCCTGAGCAGTTTGTACTTAGTCCAAATGAAGTAATTCCTGATAGAACTTACACACAGATAGGAATGAGCTAGAAAATCCCCTGCAGCACCTGTGTGGGCGTCACTCCCTGCAGGGTTTATTCCTCGTGGTCCTCAGGCTGCAGCACTTCAGTCCTTCAGGTGGCACCAAGGGATAGGCAGCTCTGCCCACCAGCAGCTGCTGTGGAGTCACCTCCCTGGGCTGGGGAAACAAACCCTGGGAGGTGAGACAAGAACCAAGAACCCCAGTGCTGCAGGAACCCAGGAGCTGCAGGAAGAGCAGGAACCCCAGCACTGCAGGAGCCCAGGAGCTGCAGGAACAACAGGAACCTCAGCGCTGCAGGAAAAACCCGGAGCAGCAGGGAGCTGGAACTCTGCCAGGAGGACTCCTCGTGTGTCACAGCAGGAGTGGGAGCAGCAGTTGTGCAGTTCTGGGGGTGCCTGTGGCTGTGCTGGTTGTGCCGTTTGGGGTTGTCCTGGTTTGGGCTGGGACAGAGGTAACTTCTGAATCCCAGTAACTGCTCCTGCAGTGCCATGTTTTGGGCTGGGGGTGAGGATGCTGCTGAGGACACACTGATTTTTGGCTGTTGTTGTGCTCGCCCTAAACCAAGGACTTCCCAGTGTCCCCTGCTCAGCCAGCGAGGAGCTGCACCAGAACTTTGCCACAATTCTGTTGTTTTACTGTTCTTGTCTGTCTTCACATCCCTGGAAGTGTCCAAAGCCGGGTTGGACAAGGCTTGGAACAGCCTGGTCTGGTGGGAGGTGTCCTTGCCCATGGCAGGGGCTGGAATCAGATGGTCTGTAAGGTCCCTTCCAAACCACTCTGTGATTCTATTTCCGGAACTCTGTGGTGTTTAAATTTACTCTCCTTCTATCTGTACCTTCTTCTCCTGCCATACATGACTGGTCTCTCAGTGGTTTGACCTATAATAAGACCCAGTTCCCACGGCCACGGTGCTTTTTTATGTGTCTAGATGTGTTTATTTTTCTGTTTCAGTACGATTTTGCACCTCTCTGTTTCAAGTCCTTTCAATTTAAAAGCTCTTGCTTTGAACATCTGGGAAATGGAAATTTTCTATCCACAGAACCCAAGTATTGTCACACCCCGTGAATTCTTGCAGGGTTTAGTTGTTACCCATGAGAGTGTCATGGAAGTGTCCTCCTGGAAGCTGCTCTGACCTCAGCTCGGCTCCACAGCGACCTGACACCGAGTTGTAACTGGTTTGAGTTCTCCGTGTAATGGTTTCACTTTCAGTCCATTCCTTGTCAGCCTTTGGAGAGGGGCTTCGCCCTCTGCCTCACTGCTTATAAAATGAGCTGTAACAAACCCAAACTCTGTTGTCCTGGAGAAGTGAAACTCCAGGTTTGGAGCGGTGCTGTTCCAAGTGTCCTGTCTAGCTGTGTGACCTGTGAGGCTGAGCTCTTTGGGTAAAGCTCCTTGACTTAATTTCCTGTTCTCTATATTAAGATTTTATGCAGTGAAAGGAAATGTTTTTATTTCACGGAATTTTGAGCTCTAAAAGACCCTTTTTAACTGTCCTGCAGACCCCGTTTTGTGCCTTGGGTTGTTTTTCTCACCCGCTGTGAGCAGGTGACGAGACGAACCATCTAATCCTTGTCTTTTAACTTGCAGCTTTGTGTTGTTCTTGGAAAGTTTCGCACCACTTGTGAATTCCCTGAACCTTGGCCTTGCCAGCCCCCTTGTGTTGGGCCCTCCTCCCTTTCAGCTTGCCCAAATTAAGACCCACTTGGCTCTGCAGTCGTGGTCCTCGGTGTCCGGCGGCGGCGGCGCGGCCCCTGCCCACGCTGGGTTCCGCCAGGCGTTGCCCAAAGACGCGATGTTTGGCCCCAGAGGAACCTTGCCCCCCAGGCCCAGGGGACCCAACCCCTCAGGCAGCAAGCCTCCGGGATCCTTCGGGGCAGGAGGGGCGGCGGGGCCGCAGAGGAAGCCAGCGCCGGGAGCCCCCCAGGCAGCGCCCCAGAGACCCCCGGGCCAGGACTCGCTGCAGTGGACGGGCTCCCAGAGGATCAACGTGCGGGTCACGCTGCACAGGGCGGATCCCAGGAAGGTCAAGGAGAAGAACAACCTGCACCAGGAGCAGAAGGGAGACCCTCGTCCCAACCGCTGGGACAGCAGCCCGTGCCCGGCCGGGACAGCCGCGCCCAAGCCGCCCGCGCCGGCCCCGGTGCCGGTGCTGGAGCAGAACTCGAGCGCCCAGAACCGCTACACGCCCGAGAGCGCCTCCAGCATTTTAGCGAGCTTCGGGCTGTCCAACGAGGACCTGGAGGAGCTCAGCCGCTACCCCGACGACCAGCTGACCCCGGAGAACATGCCGCGGATCCTGCGCGAGATCCGCATCCGCAAGATGGGCCAGCCCGCGCCCGGCCTGCGCGGCCCGGCCCGCGGGGACGAACGGGGGGCAGAGCCGGGCGGCGCGCCCGTCAAGGGCAAGGTCATCGACTACGGGCACGCCAGCAAGTACGGCTACACCGAGGACCCGCTGGAGGTGTGCCCCTACGCCCCCGAGGGGCTCCCGGAGCCGCCCCTGGAGCCCTGCGTGTACAACCCCGACGGCCCGGGCGCGGACGGCAGGGAGGACGTGCCGCGGGAACAGAGCGTGCCGGTGCCCGTCCCGCCGCCCGGCGTGCCCTGCAACCCCGTGTTCCCGGCCGACGATCTGATGAAGCTGCCCGCCTTCCAGGGCGACTCCTCCGGCGCGCCGCCGTTCTTCCCGGCCGAGCCCCCGGCCAAGGTGTCGGGGCTGTGCCCGGCGCCCGCCGCGCTGCCCGTGGTGCCGCCCGCGTCGCAGGCGCCAATGCCGCCGGTGCTGCCGCCCATGATGCCGGCCCTGCTGCCCTCGCCGCTGGCGCAGCCCCTGCTGCCGCCCGTGATGCCGCCGCTGGTGCAGCCGCCCGTGTCCCAGCACGTCCTGCCGCCGCTGACGTCGCCGCCCTTCTCCGCCGGGCTCCTGGCCGCCATCAGCCAGCACGAGCAGAAGCAGCGTGAGACCGGCAGCGGCTCCGGCTCCTCCGGCAGGGCCGGGGGGGGCCACAAAGGCTTCCATGCCGAGGGGCCCATCAAGTCCCCGTTCGGGGTGGTGAAGGCGTCCTGGCTGCCCGTGTTCCACGACACCCAGAAGAGCAAACGCCTGCCCACCCCGTCCATGATGAACGACTACTATGCGACGTCGCCGCGAATATTCCCACATTTGTGTTCTCTGTGTAACCTTGAATGCACTCAGATGAAGGTGAGTGTCTTTCCCAGATTATTCCCTAAGCGTGTGCCCGGCACCTTTCCTGCCGCCCCGCTCCGGGGGCAGATTGTTTTCCCGGCAGTTCGATGGATTGGGGTGCCGGTCGCCAGTTTGAGTGCTGATGTGCTGGCAGTGGCTGTAACACTGTGTTCTGTTCCCAGTTGCCTTTCACAGCTGTTTAAAGGCTGAATTTTAATTCTGTTTAATATCACAAATGGTTTCTGCCTTTGCAGCGGGTTTCGGACAACAACACAAACCCTTGGCAGTGGAGTGAAACCTGAACGTCATCGGGGGGGCTAAAATCATGTCACGGGGTGGGGAGATGTTCATGTGTTCACCCCTCTGATCCAAACTCTGCCTTGAAACAAACCAGCCCATTTAGAACCCGAAATTTTCCTCTCCAGGCGTGCTCTGTGTGAGTGTTCCAGAGGCTGGAGCCTGGCTCAGGGGGACACACAAAATGCCTCCATTCATCCGGCCGAGCTTCCAGCTCTGAAGGGAGTCACAGTCCAGCCTTGAAGGGAGAATAAAAGGGAAAACTGATGGATACTGGGAGATAAAAAACATTCTGAAAGCTGTGGCTTTTCCTGGAAAGCCCGGGGTTTGACATATCAAAAATAAGGGAGAGGGTAACAAAAACCATGAAATAATTCATTAATAATCTTTTCATGTGTTTACATTGCATGCAGTGTTTGAGCAACCTGGGGGAAGGTTGTGGGAGAGGGACTTTTTGTAATTTGGCAAAATCCCGGAGATTTTGTGCCTTGTTTGTGCTGTGATTTAAAAATCTGACTGACTAAAGGTGGGTTAGGGAAAAATAAACAGAAATTCCCAAGGCCTTTCCCCCAGGAGGATGAGCAGCTTGGAAATGGGAAAAGAGGTGTAAGTTAAAATAAGAATGGGTGAAATGGAACAAATCAGAGGGGGTGTTATTAAAGGGGAAAAGGGAATTTAAAACATAAAGGGAAGAAAAGAAGCACTTTGGGAAAGTGGGATCTGTGTAAGTGGGAATTGTCCAGTCGCTCGCTTACGGGAGCCTGGGAAAATGAAGCAAATGTTGTTACTAAAAATACTTGTTGACAAATTAGCTGGGAGGTTTTGGGGGTGGATTAAAGGTTATGAGTTCTTGTCCTGGTGGCACTGCAGCACAGGATGTGTTCCCAGACATCCTGATCTGACTGCAGCCTCCCAGCCTCTGCTCCTGTCCCACCTCCTTTGGCTCTGGCCTGGCTTGACCTCCTCCAGGGCAGTGTTTGGTGTCTGTGCACCTGAGGCCTCCTGGGACCAGCCCTGGTGACACAACAGTGGAGCCAAAGAACCACAAAAGTTGGAGTTTTACTGCAAAAAAGAGAAACTTGTTGGAGAAATGCTCATCTCGTGGGTTGGTGAAGCGCAGAGAACGAAGAATCCCCACAGTTTGATTCTGCAAATCCCCGCAGTTTGGGTCTTTGCCCCAGGTGGGTGGTTAAAGGTGACCTGGACAGTGAGGGTTTGTGTCTCTGGACACCCCTGTCCTGTGCTGGGAGAGCTGGATGGGCCTCAGGTGTCCCCAGACTGTGCCCTGGGCTGATCCCCCAGCGTGGGCAGCAGGACAGGGGGGATTCTGCCCCTCTGCCCCCTCAGTGAGACCCCCCTGCAGAGCTGCCTCCAGCCCTGGCAACAACAGCACAAGGACGTGGAGCTGCTGCAGAGAGTCCAGAGGAGGCCCCGGAGATGCTGCCAGGGCTGGAGCCCCTCTGCTCTGGAGCCAGGCAGCAAAGGGCAGGATGTGACACGAGCAGATGAGGATGATGGAAGATGCTGAGTGAAGAAACACTTCTCTCCATCCCACACTTGAAGGTACTGAGTATCTGAAGGCCAGGTTGCAGTCACATCACAGTGGGGGATTCCCAGTTCAGCTCTTTCACAGTGAGGAGCTGCATTTTTTCACAGTTGCCTTTAGTCCCCTCTTGGACTGAAGTCCAATCCCTCTCGGATTTGACAGCACTGAAGCAGAAGCTGCATTGCCCATTGGAAGAGAATTCCAGCACGTTCCCTGCCATTGGTTATTAAAAGCAGGGGTTTACCCCTGGATGTGAGACATCACCTCCCCTCTGTGTCCCTCCAGCCTGGCTCTGCCCTGAACGTGCCAAAACACTGGGAGCTGAGCGTCCTCAGGATTGGAAAACCCTTCTGTTGGTGCCCAAGTCATCCCATTGGCCCTCCCTGCAGCTCTTCCTTAATTATCTCCCTGAATTAAGGAGCTCTGATGAAATCCAAGCTGAAGATGGCCTGGAGGTGTCTGCAGTACCGAATCACAGAGGTTGGAGTGTCAGACAGAAAATGTATTTTCTCGCTCTTCTGTAATGAGAAAACCACCCCGAATCTCCCTCCTACAGACTGATGTGTTTTTAAGGTGGTTTTTGGCTAATACGCAGTTCAGAAGTAACAAGTTGTGGTATCTCTCATTTACATCTGGAGTTGTGATGGACTTACCTGTGAAAAATAGATACTTTTAAGCTTGGAGCCTTCTTGGTGAGTTGTGGATAACCCTCAGGTGCAGTGATGGATGGCAGGTCAACAGGCCCCTCACCTGCCCGAGACATCGTGGGTTTGGGGTCAGTGGAGGTGCCTCGGGGCTGAAAGGAGGGTCTGGGGCAGCATCCTAAATGGGACAGATCCCACCTTGTTTCTGCCTGTCAGGAAGGGATATGGTCAGTGGTGGTTTTAGCAGTGCTGGGGAGGTTGGACTGGATGATCTCAGAGGGCTTTTCCCACCTCAGTGAGTCTGGGAAGGTCCCTGTGGTTTCCTCGGGGTTGTAGAAAAGGGAGCTCTCACACAAGGTCGGCTTTTTGAGCCATAAAAATGGGATTGAAGATGTAAATTGATGCTGCTTGGCCTGGAAGGTGTTCTCAAAAATTGGTGTCTTCGTGTTCTGTGCTGTTTTCAGGGCAGTGTCCAGTTCTGCCCTTGGCCAGGTGGAGTCTCACCTCCCTCCTTTAGCTCCATTTACAAACCCCTCCGTGTGTTTTAGCGTTCTATGAATATTTCACAGAGCAGCCCCATTTCCCACTTCAGCTTGTTTTGTGCTGGGGTAGCAAAGTGGGATTTCTCCACCTTCAGACCCTTCCCGTTTGGAATGAAGTGGATTTGCAGAGTTCCCAGCACAAAGGGATCGTGTGCACCGTGTATTTACCACAAGCTTTGTTCTCTAAACCATCGTAAGGGGAGGGCGGCGGCGGCTTGGACCCGGAATCACATGAAGTCACGGGGACTCCTTGTTTTCCACAGAGAATTGCACTCAGAATTCCTTTGCTGAGGGGAGTTTAAGACTGGAGATGCTTTGCCCCCTCACCTCCTGTGTCAGGACGGTGGTGGTGGTGATCCCTGAGGCGGAGGAGGGCGGGATGGGGTGAGGGAAGGTGGAGGGGCTTGGCCCTGGGGGAAGTTGGGTTGTGGAGCAGCTGCTGGAGGAGTCTGTATGGAAGCCCTTCCTCTTAGCAGGGTGTGATGGGAAGGGATCCATCTCTGGGGACTGATGGAAGCCCAGAGATCCCTGGGAGTGTCAAAAGCCAGGTTGGAAGGGGCCTGGAGCAACCTGGGCTGCTGGAAGGTGTCCCTGCCCGTGGCAGGAGTGGGATGAGATGGACTTTTCCAACCTGGAGTCTTTGGACAGTGGAATATTCCTGAAGACTGAGAAGGGCCAGGAACGAGTCAAAGAGGAGGAACATCCATAAATCCATACTCCTGTAGCTCTGGGATGCAGGAGGGCTTTGGCACAGCAAAGACTTGGCAAAGAGAAGAACGTTGTCCTTGTCTGCTGGGAGGAGAATCTCCCTTTGTAATCCCAGGAATGGCATTGGATCGGCATCTGGATGCACTTGGAAACCAAATGCCCTCCCTGGGCCTCACTGGCACCGTGTCCCCTTCTCTGGCACCATGGAAGTGGATTCTGGGAGCCAAATTCCCTTTAATTTCTAACAGCTCATTTGATTCAGCCTTTGTGTCCTGGCTAAATTGCCTAGAAAAATGGGATCCTTTGAACAGGATTGCTTAGAGATGGCCTGGAATTAGGGAAAACCAGTGTGTGACGGTGAGTTGCCGCTTCTGATTCGTGAGCTGGCTGCAGAGTGATCCCAAACAGTGTTTTCCTGCCTCGTTTGGGGCAGTTGGAATGAGCAGAACGTTGGGAACACGGTGAGTGGATCTTCCAGTGCCTTTGGAGGTGGGTTGTGGGTGTCTGCAGGAAACCCTAACAAATCCTGTGCTTCAAATGCACGTTAGTTCCACTGAGCCCCCAGGTTTATGGGAGTTTGGGAAGGCCTGGAGCACATCCTGGAGCTGGTGGTGTGAGTGCCGGGAGCAGCCATTCCCAGCTGGAGCTGTGCCCTTCCCGGGGCTCCTTCCCCTCCCACCACCAGCTCTTTGTCAGAGAAACAAGAGGGTTTATGTGCTGCCAGAGACACGCTGGAGCATCTTCTTGTCTTCCAGACCAGCGTGTTCTTGGGAAAAGTGACGTGGAATTTCACAGCTGGGGAGTATTTACCCAGCCCGGCCTGCCAGCTGCGTTATACAGCTGTTATTTTATGTTCATTGTTATATATTTGATTGTGTTTTATACCATTAGAGCAGCTAGAAGCTGGTTTTTTAGGAATGTTTAATAATTACCACAGACACACTGCACCTTAGAGGTTCAGACCACGGAATATCCCTTCTCCACAGCAAACTGACTCCTTTGCTTTCCAGCTCCCCACACTGGGGACTGTCTGTGCTCACAGTTAAACCTGACCTTAAGGATTTGTAAGTAATATTAAGATTTTTTTCAAGCTCGAGGGCTTGCACTGTCTCTGCTAAACTCCACAGTTTTCCTCAAGATAAACCCCTTGATGAGGCTGTTTAATGTAAAATAAATCCGTGTGTGTGTGTGAAGAACGTCCCGAGGCTTTGGAGTGACCTTTAGCTGTGACGTGATTGGGGGTGAATGTTCTGCAGCTCCAGGCGTGGAAAGCCAGGCTGGGGTGGGAATGAGATCTGACTCGGAGATGCCACGTCTGGGGCTCTGTGTTTTCTGGGTTTGCTGGGGGTGCTCTTTGGTCTGACAGCCTGTGAAAGCCAGTAATGGCTTTATTTCCTTTAATTTACCCAGTTATTGGATCAGCCTTTCCTGATCCGTGTGGTGACAGCCCCCGGGGTGCTGCTGGGGTCAGTTCCTTCATCTGTTTCATGGAACACATTGTATTTTGCTCACCTTCCACTCTGTGTTCTGTGTCACCTCATGGTGATAATATTTTAGGGTTTTAATACCTGAAGTGGAAATTTGACCTTAAGATCGTTCCTAAGGTAAAATGTGGTGGAAGGCAAAACACAGCAAACATCACTAGAGACTGTGGGCAGTGCTGACATTTCCCACTCTGATCCAACCTCTCGGGGTGTCCTTTCCCCTACCAGGACTGGATCCTGCACCAGAACAACCCTTCCCACATCGAGAGCTGCCGCAAGCTCCGCCAGCAGTAAGGGATCTGTGTGGGATGCACTGGGAGTGGCTTGGGCTGGGAGGGATAATAAATCCCAGCAACAGTAAAGGGTCTGCTTGGGATCTGCTGGGAACGGCCTGGGTTGGGAGGGATAATAAATCCCAGCAACAGGAAGGGATCTGTGGGACCCACTGGGAATGGCCTGGGCTGGGAGGGATAATAAATCCCAGCAACAGGAAGGGATCTGTGGGACCCACTGGGAATGGCCTGGGCTGGGATGGATAATAAATCCCAGCAACAGGAAGGGATCTGCTGGGAATGGCTTGGGAGGGGAGGGACAATAAATCCCACCCGGTGCCACCCCTGCCATGGGCAGGAACACCTTCCCCCAGCCCAGGGCTCCAAGCCCTGTCCAACCTGGAGTACTCCTGGGGATGGCGCACCCACAGCTGCTCAGGGCAGCCTGTTTTGAGGGGAAAAAGTGGGGTTTGTGCTGCAGGTGGGAATTTTGGGTTTTGCACTGACACCTCTGTTCCCTTGGCAGGTACCCAGAATGGAACCCCGAGGCTCACTCCAGCAGGTATCTGCTTGTGCTTTTCTAGTTGTTCAGTTATTTTCTGGTAATTAGGGCGGCTCTTTTCCCTGATTTGCCCCCTGCAGCCCCTCCCAGGGGGGTCGTAGTTCTGGTACAGAATTGGGGGTAGTGGTTTTGAGGGGTTTCTCTTAAGTTTGATAGAATCCTAGACTGGTTTGGGTTGGAGGGACCATGAAGCCCATCTCATTCCACTTGAGAATTCCACAAATCTTGGTCCAGTTAATCCTATTTGCGTCCTGCCTCCGGAGATCCCTTGGGGCACAACATCATCACAAGCTGAAAAAACCCTGGAATTCGTGAACTCCCATCTCTGGCCTTGACTGTCTGTGATGAATTCTTTGTCAGAACACACCCTGTGCATGAATTCCCTGTGAAGCTCAGCACAGTTGGGTTGTTTTGCTGCTCCAACATTTGTACATGTTTTGCCTCGTGTACGAATAGGGGGGATAGGGCTGGAATTGTCCTTGGATTTTCCTGAGACGTTGCATTAATTAGTTTGACGTCTTTCCTGGGAAGCTGAGTTCCAAAGCTGGATGTGCAGGCCAGGCTGCTTTGCCGTGTGAGGTCTCTGTTACAAACCAGGAGAAATAAAGTGAATAAACTTCTGAAACTTCCATGAGGAGCATAGTCACAGAATCATGGAATGGTTTGTGTTGGAAAGGACCTTGAAGCCCATCCAGTGCCACCCCCTGCCATGGGTGGGGACACCTTCCACTAGCCCAGGGTGCCCCAGGCCCCATCCAGCCTGGCTTTGGACACTTCCAGGGATCCAGGGGCAGCCACAACTTCTTTGCCCAACCTGTGCCAGGGCCTGCCCACCCTCACAGCCAGAAATCCCTTCCCAATATCCCATCTGTCCCTGCCCTCTGGCAGTTTGAAGCCATTCCCCGTGTCCTGTCCCTCCATGCCTTGTCCCCAGTCCCTCTCCAGCTCTCCTGGAGCCCCTTTAGGCCCTGCCAGGGGCTCTCAGCTCTCCCTGGAGCCTTCTCTTCTCCAGGGGAACCCCCCCAGCTCTCCCAGTGAATTCCTCTCTCCCACCTTGCCCAAGCTCACCGTGTTCCCTCGTTCCCACAGGAATGCTGGGGACAGGAAGGAGAACCAGACCCCGAGGCACCGCTCCAGCTCTTCCAGCCCCAGCCGGCGGCGCTACCGCCCGGGGGGCTCCGGGTACCCCGTGCGGCGCTTCCGATCCCGATCCCGGAGCCCCGGGCGCTTCCGCCGGCCCCGGAGCCGCAGCCCCCCCCGGCACTTTCGCCGGCCCAGCCCCCGGCACAGGTCCCGCTCCCCGCAGCGCTCCAGGAGCTCCCTGCGCTCCAGCTCCCGCTCCCACAGGTCCTCCAGCTCCGAGCGCTCCTCGCGCAGGTCCAGCCGCTCCGAAGGTACGGGTGGAGATGCGCTGCCACGGGGGGACCTGCTGTCCCTGCGGGAATTCCCTGCTGGTTTCCGGAGGCTTCCCTGGAGGATCCCACCCGGGCTGCCTTGTGTGTGTGTTTGCAGAGCGCTGAGAGGTTCTGTGGGACAGAGGTCCAGGTGGGAAGTTGTGAAGGGACAGGCAGATTCCGAGAGGTTTATTGAGGGTAAAATGCAAACCGTGGAAATGGAGGAGGGGGAGAAGCAACAAATAACCGAAATATGAATTCTCCACAGAAAGCCAGCAGACAGGAAATTATTGTTGTAGCAGCTCGTTAAAGAATAATTAAAACCAACAAAGAGCAAGAGAAGGAGGCAGAATTTAGCAGAAGGCACCAAGATAGTAAGTACTGCTGGGCCTCAGTGTGAGAGAGGAGCAGAGGCTTCAAAAGTCCCTCTTTTCCATTCCCTGACATAGAAAATTAGAGGATATTTTGCGTTTTCTTTTGTCCAGCCCTTGGGATTGTTGTGGATGTTGTTTTGGAGCGTCACATCCTGAGGTTTATTAATATTTACTGTGAAGGTTCTCTAAGCTCAGGGTTGGCTCAGGAGCGGGTGGTGAAGCTGAAACTGTAGGAGAGAACAGAAATATCTGTAAACTGTATTTAAATGTAAATCCAACCCCCCTGGTTTCCCTCCCTCAGACAGAAAGGCAGCGCTCGAGGCCGTCATGAAAACCCTGGGGCCTGAGTTCCTGGCAGAGTTCAAGAAACATAAATCACTTCAGGCAGCTGTGCAGGGATCCCTGGGATCAGGGAGATCCTCATCCACTCATGGACCGCCAGGGAAGGTGCCTGGGAGTGTGAAGAAGCCCTTGAAGACAAGTGCTGCTCCAAAGGCTTCCAAGAAGGATGCGCCTGCTGTGCCTGGGCCGAGTTCTGCTTCCCCCAAAACGGAGGAATCGGCCCAAAACAAAGAGGGGGAAGAGGAGGAGGAAGATGAATCTGCAGGGAGCAGCAAACCTCAGTCTGCTTCTTACAACAGGGTGAGTTCCTGCAGGTTTTCCCTCATTTTTAAGGATTCAGTTGGGGTTTCCCTTCAGGGGGTCATTGGGAGGGTGACCCATTCCATGTGACACTGAGGTCTGCTGGCTGCAGGGAAGGATGGGGATCATGGAATCTTGGAATGGTTTGGGTTGGGAGAGACCTTAAAGCCCTCCCAGTCCCACCCCCTGCCACAGGCAGGGACACCTCCCAGTATCCCAGGCTGCTCCAAGCCCCATCCAACGTGGCCTGGGACCCCTCCAGGGATAGAGATTGAGGCCAAATGGCAAAACCCCTGACTCGGGAAGTGTTTGTTTTCCTTCTGTGTCCCGTTCGTAGCTGCTGAGGGAGGACCTGCTGAGCTGTGGGACCGTCCTGCAGATCTCAGACCTACCGGACGACGGGTTTTCGGATCAGGACATCAAAAAGCTGGTGCAGCCCTTCGGCAAAGTCAGCGACCTCATCGTGCTGCGCTCCAGGAACGAGGTGAGCAGGGCAGGGAGAACGGGGGAACCTCAGGTCAACGTAGCATTAATGACAAACAACTGAGGAGCTTTAAGGTGACACACATAATCTCATTTCATTTCATTATATATCTATAAAATTTATATATATATGTGATTTATACACATAATGTATAGATTTTTAATATATAATATATAGTATATGTTACATCATGTCTTTATATATTTACATATCTTTAATTTTATCTATAAATTAGGCATTATACATTATGTATAATATTATAATACATTACAGATTATTTAGAATGTGTAACATCTGTAATGTGTATTATGTGTTATTATAAATTATTCATGTGTCATTTTTAAGTGATTGTGTTTATTCTGCTTTACTCTGCCTGAGCCTTGGCAGCTGGAGGCAATGGGATGGTTCTGGTGGAATGGAGAGATCCAGACTTGCCCACCAAGCTGCACATGGATTCAGCACGCGCAGTTCCATCAGAAGCACGTTTGCCGAGGAGGAATCCCGGTGTCCTGTGCCTGGAATCCCAGTAAGAGCAGGAATTCCCTGTGTTTCAGGCCTACCTGGAGATGAACTACAAGGAGGCCGTGATTGCTGCCGTGAAGTACGGGGAGACGGCGCCGGTGCTGCTCAACGGCAGGCGCGTCCGGATCAGCGTGGCGGAGAAACCCCGGCCTGCCCCGGGCCAGGTGGGCTGGGCACCTTCCCACCCTGAAAGATGCTAGCTTGTATTTATGTAGATGTTAGTTACTACTGATTATTAGTACTGCTTTTAAGAATTAATAATCCAGTTTCTCTGTGTGTGTGTGTGTGTCTGTACAAACAGATTTATAGAAAGTTTAGATCGAATGTGAAAAATAACAGTTGAACAGTGAAGAACACAACCCATACTTTACGTATACTTAGTTACTGTTGATAATTATTGATGATTTTATGTGTCTACACAGTCACCTTTTTTCTTTCCATTCCAGGTCAAAAAGACCATAAAAAAACGAGTTCTGACCGTGAAGAAAGCTTCAGCAAGTACCAAGTAAGTGTTGCCTTTGCATAAATTAGTGTTAATGATAACGATGGGGAACCAGATGGGCTCATATCTCTTTGTGGGGTTTATTACTGGGTTTGAGCTTTTTAAAGCTGTTTTAATATTTGCTGATTGTCTCAAAAACTGGTTATTTTTTATTCTCCTGACAGAAAAGTTCCAACCACCAGCACCAAGACCCCCAAACCCCTGACAGGTGAGACCGGGGGGGGGGAGTTGTCTGTTGTCTTTATTAATTAATTTATTGGCTTGATTGGTTTATTTTATTGCCTTTCCTGAGCAGTTCTCAGTTCGGGAGCAGCCTTGATTTTTATGGGAAGTTGTGGTTTTTACAGATTTATTGATTCCATTCCTCAGCACCTTTGTGGGAATGAACTGCTGGCTTAGGTTTTGGATGGCTTTTTTGGTCATATCAGTTGAATTGCTGCAGATCAAGCTGATTTTTGTGTGTATATTGTATATATATGTGTGTATATTGTGGTATGTGTAATAGTCTATTTTATTATTTTATTTCTATTATACTTTACTATTATAATCACTTTCCATCTTTTATCATATTGTTGTGCATATAATGTCTTTTTATTCACAATAATATTACATCAGTAAGCAATATTTGTCCCAGTGATTAATTTATTACTAGCATGCATGTATAATATTGCTGTGCTGTTTCATTTTACTATTAAATGCATGTTATTTATTGTATGTATAATACTTTATGTTGGTTTTAAGTCATATATAATCAGCATTTCTGCTGACACCTGCTTTGGGGTGTTTGTGTAGGTAAAAAAGAAAAGCTCAAGAAATCAACAGTGGCAGGAGAACAGAAGGTCAAGAAGACTCCAGGTGCTGCAGGTAAGAGGAGGGAGGACTTTCACTCCTCCCTGGGGAAGCAGGAGGTGCTTTTCCCTTCCCAGCACGGGGATTTCCGGCTGTGAGGCCAGGCTGTCACACCTTTCCTGGCCTTGCCCACGAGTGGATCGTTCCACAGGCAAACACCCTCCTTGCAGGGATTGTCAGGGCTGTTTATAGACCGGGAATAGCCAAAAAAAACAGGGAAGGGGGTGAGCCTGGGGCAAAGCTGTCACTGGAAGTCCATTTTCTGGGATTTATTTTCTGGGAGGCCTCTGAGCACGTGACAGAGAATGCGCAGTGCAGCTCATTCTGCTGCTGCAAATGGATTAACTGATCTGTGGAAACAAACAATGCCTTTTCCTGCTGTTCCTTGCCAGAACAACCTGAGGATGGAGATCCCGAGCCCTCGGCAGAGCCCGGGATGGAAGCTGAGGAAGCAGAGCCATCAGATCCAAAGGGTGTCACGGAAGGGGAGGGAATCCCAGAGCCTGCAGTGCCCATGGAGACCCAGCCCAGTGCTGCACCTGTGCCAGGTAATCCCGTGTCTGTAGTGCCGTTTCCCCTGGGGGATGTGCAGTTCCTCGTGGAGATGTTTTATGGATGTGTTTGTTTGTCAGGGAGCCCGTCCCAGCCCCCTCAGGCGCCGGCGCCGGATGTGCCTGAGGTTGATAAAGCTTTAATTAAACCAGGTAAAGTGTAAAGTTGTCTTAAACCTCTCTTGTCTTGGGAGCCACATGAGTTGCTTTCCAGACAGGAAGTGGAAAGGACTGGGATTCCAGGAAATAAAATCTTAAAGTGGTTTCGGGGGCTGGACCAGAACCCGGGATTTCATCGGGGTGGCTGAAGGGGCTGAAGGCCCCCAAAGGAGCTGCAGACTCCTGAGATTTATGTATTTCAACAGACAGGACGATCCTTCCAGGAGTTTTCAGTGTGACTGGGACACTTGCATTGAACCCCATGGATTCAGGCTCTCTGTGTGCTCTGTTTGCAGCTCCACTACTCATTTAATCCCGTGGGTTCAGTCGTTCCTGTGTTCCATGTTTTGCAGCTCATCCGTAGCAGACTGTGTGTTAAACCCAGCTCAAGTGTGTGGTGATTCTCAGTTACTGTGATGGTACAGATAAGGAAAGGTCATAGAGTCCTGGAATCATGGAATGGTTTGGGTTGGGACAGACCTTAAATCCCACCCAGTTCCATCCCTGCCATGGGCAGGGACACCTTCCACTATCCCAGGTTACTTCAAGCCCCGTCCAACCTGGCCTTGGATGCTTCCAGGGGTGGGGCAGCCACAGCTTCTCTGGGAAATTCATTCCAGTCCCTTGCCACGCTCACAGGGAAGATTTCCTTCCCAATATCCCACCCAAATCTCCGTTTTTTCAATTTGAAATCATTTCCCCTTGTCCTGTCCCTCCATCCCTTGTCCCAGATTCCTCTCCAGCTCTCTTGGAGCCCCTTTAGGCACTGGAGGGGGGTCTAAGGTCTCTCTGGAGCTTTCCCTTCTCCAGGCTGGACATTCCCACCTTGGACCTGTTCTTTCTGGGAGCATTTCCCTAACACTGTCTGTGTCTCACCACGTTGTCACTGTGAAATGAATGTTTAATACTGGTTTCTCACAAGGCATAAAATGCAGTGCAGGAAGTTCTTGAAGTTCTGAGGTATTTAAAGAAACCTGAACCACTGAACTCCTCCTTCCCTGTTTTCCAGAGCCTCCAGGAATGGCCACACCGAGCGAGGAATCGACAGATCCAGCCAGGAAGGTCGGTGTGAGGGTGGGAATTGTAGGAATACACACCTGGAGCCGTTTCCAGGTGTTGCTGTAATGTCTGAAAACCTCCAATTTAACCCCCTTCCTGTTTATTTCTGGTGAGAACACCCTCCCAGACTGCTTTGGGTGCAGAGGGACCTGAAGTCCCATCTAATCCCACCCCTCTCCGTGGACACCTTCCACTAGCCCAGGTTGCTCCAAGTCCCATCCAGCCTGGCCGTGGACACTCCCAGGGCTGGGGCAGCCACAGCTCTGGGCAGCCAGGATTGATTCAGGGGGGAAGGAATGGCAGCCAAAATGCCCTTATTTCTCGCAGGACCCCGATGACCTGTGTGTGGTCCTGGTCTCCAACCTGCCCGACAAGGGATATTCTGTGGAGGAAGTTTCCAACCTGGCCAAGCCCTTTGGAGGCCTAAAGGATGTGCTGATTTTATCCTCTCACAAAAAGGTATTTAAATGGGGTTTGGTGGTGTTTCTCCCTGGAGAAGCAGCAAATGAGCCTGCAAGGAGTGTAAACGAGATGCAGGAAGCATCGATGGGAGATGCCTCTGATAAATTCCAATTTTCCTTCAAATTTTTTTGCTTCTTCTGCCAGGCATATCTGGAAATCAACAGAAAAGCTGCAGATTCCATGGTGAAATTCTATACCTGCTTCCCCATGTCCCTGGATGGAAAGCAGCTCTGCATCAACATGGTGCCTCAGTACAAGACTATCAAGGATGAAGTGAGTGAGAGGATCCAGGGGAGCTCCAGCTCAGCTGGTGACGCCTCCATTCAGAGCGGGATTCTTTTGTTTAGGATGAATTTTAAACACTGTCTGGTGTCTAAAACAAGGGGTTTGTGCCATTGAAAATGGATCCTGTTAAATGTCTTTGGGATCCTGGTGAGAGGAGCAGAGATGGCAGGGAGGTGTTGATTTTAGTACTAAAGCTGAATTGAATCATTTGCAGGGAGTCAGGGACTGTATTTTACAGCTCAAATCTTACCTTTTTTTCTTTATTGTCTTTAAAGGAAGCCATATTTACTGCCCTGATTAAAGATTCTGACCCTCAGGTGAGTTGCTCTCAACTTTTCCTCCACATACTCTCAAATCCCTTAATTTAATTGGCATTAGTGTCCTTCCTACTGAAATATTGGGAACTGAAGTGTTATCTCAGTTTCCTCTTGAGTTAAATGTTTCCTGGAAGCTGGGAGTGAACATACACAGCATTTCTGTACAGTGCAGGTACAGGTGAGTTGAATTTTACTTTTATTTCTGCTGGGAAAAGCATTTCCAGGCTTTTCCTGCTGGAGGGCCAATCCCTGGGGATGGAGCTGCGGGAATTTTGGCACAGGAACCCCCAGGAGTGACTCCAAGTCAGCAAGTGACAGAAGTGTTTGGTTAAAAAACATATTGCCAGCAATGAACCACTTCCCAAGGAACCCCAAAGGCTTGAATTTCCCGTTGGGAATATTCCTGGAGAGATCTGCTTCCTCCTTATGGTTCTGCTGGGTACAAACAAAACTGCTCCAGTTTGCTGCGAGTCAGTGTTTGCAAAACACACCCAGCTTCCAAATATGAAAGGTCAGACTTATTTGGGATTTCAGGAGCCTGCTGGTGCCTTTATGCCCCTTTGATCCTCCCAAAATCCTGGGATTTGTTTGATGTTTCTGCTGGCACTGTGTGGGGCTCTTCTGCCCCATAAAGTGTGTGCCGAGGTTAAAGCAGGTTTTGCCATCCCTTTTTTTTTTTAGGTAAACACTGAATCCATCCATAACCAGTTTGTGCACCTCGGGAACTTGCCAGATGATGGATACAGGGAGCTGGAAGTGGTTTGTGTGGGGCTTCGCTTCGGCAAAGTCGACCATTATGTTGTGCTGAAGAATAAAAACAAGGTAAACACTTTAAATAAATTCTGCAAAGTGCCTTTCGGGGAGGGGGAAAAAAAGTAGGTTTTCCATGTGGAAACCTGGGAAGAAGCTGAATTTCTAAGGAGGAGTACAAATGGCAGAATGGCTAAAACTTCTGTTTTGGGACATTTCGAAGGCAGTGACTTGCTCTGCTCTTTTATTCAGTTTTCGTATTTTAATTTGAAAATCTAAAAATCCACCCAAAACCTGAGGTATTTTCAGCTTCAGGCCACGAGTTGGAACCTTTGAAAGGTGAGTTACAAACCCCTTGAGCTGCTGTGGCTGAAAGGTGAGGAGGGGGGAGGTCCCAGCCTGGAAGCTGATTTACCAGGTCCGTTCAGGAGCACGGGAAGGGGAGGAACCAGCTGATGGTTGTGCTTTGTTCCCTCCAGGCCATCCTGCAGCTGGACAGTGCCAAGGCAGCCCGCTCCATGCACAGCTTCCTGCAGCAGTATCCCTACAGCATGGGGGAGCACACCCTCAGCTGCTGCCTGTCCCCCCGCGGGGAGCCCGCCCAGGTAACGCCCCTGCTCCTCCAGCTGGGGGGTGACACGGCCTGGGCCCGGGGAACTGGGGCTGCCACTGCCACTGCTCCCCTCGGGGTGTGCTGAGGGGGATCAGACTGTCCAGCAGCTGCAGCTGGATTGGTTCTGTACCCTGCGATGGAATCGCGGATCGTGGAATCCTGGGATGGGTTGGGGGGGAAGGGGCCTTAAAGCCCACCCAGTGCCACCCCTGCCATGGGCAGGGACACTTCCACCAGCCCAGGGTGCTCCAGCCTGGCCTTGGACACTTCCAGGGATCCAGGGGCAGCCACAGCTTCTGTGGGCAACCTGTGCCAGGGCCTGCCCACCCTCCCAGCCAGGAATTCCTTCCCAATACCCCACCCAACCCTGCCCTCTGGCAGCGAGAAACCATTCCCTGTGTGCTGTCCCTCCATGCCTTGTCCCCAGTCCCTCTCCAGCTCTCCTGGAGCCCCTTTAGGCCCTGCCAGGGGCTCTCAGCTCTCCCTGGATCCTTCTCTTCTCCAGGGGAACCCCCCCAGCTCTCCCAGCCTGACTCCTCAGGAGACAGTAAGTGATTATCCACGTGAATTCCTTTCTGGGAGCTCCCATTTCCCGAGTGCTGCTGTTCTCTTTCAGTGCCATGCCTTTGGGATCCCGTTCCCACTCCAGGATGTGCTGGAAATTCTGGTTTTTCCCTTCACTTTTATCCACAGAAGACAGTTCCAAATGACAGCCAGGGCATCCATCCTGTCCTGACCCCTCATCCATGGTGGAAGTGCTGCAGTTCCCTCATTAGGAGCAATTAATTAGCCTAAATTCAGAATAATCCCACTTTTCCCCTCCCTCCTTTTTCCACATCTTTCACTACCTAAACTTTGTAGCTGAAGAAAATAACCAAGTCCTTAACAAGCTTTTTCTCAAGTCTAAAAATTGTAAGGAATAAGCTCCCTTAGCACTGAAAAATAAGGAAAAGAACCTTCCTTGAAGTCCTCACGATGAGAGACATCCACCAGGGTGATTCAGATCCACTTTTCCAGCTGCTCCCTGTATCTGGAGTGACAGAAGAACATCCCTTTGTCCCTGGAAATGTTTCATCCAAAGTCAGTGCCCACAAAGAATGGCATTCCCCTGCTGTGTTCCAAACATTTCTTCCCAGCTGCATGTTTTGGGGCACTTGGGGCTGATTTCGAGGGGGAGCGGCCATGGAAGTGCTGCTCCGTCCCTTCAGAGTTGGATTCCTGGAATTTTGCTGATAGTATCTGAATTTAGTAGTGCTGAAATGCCAAAAACAGGGGGAAAGTCTTGGAGCAGGAAGGAGGATGTGCCACTGGAGCACATTCCGTGCTGGCAGTGCCACTGTCACAGCGTTTGGCCAGATGTCCAGGTCAGCCTGTGCTTTGGAGTTCAACTCAGGGGTTTATTTTTCCCTGTAACTGAGAGGGAGACAAAAATGCCTGAGAAAAGGGAAAACTGATTTTCTCCCAGCTGTTCTTCTTGGCTGTATTTGGAGCCTGTTCCCTCTTGTCCATCTTCTCCATTCCCCTCCAAAGGCTGGGTTGTGTGCCTGGGGACCAAAGGAACATGAAGGTTATTTCTCTGGAAACCTTTCAGTCAGATTCTGGAGGAAAAGACAGATAGGTTTTGGTTCCGTGGAACATATTCTGTTACTTTGGGCACTTATCTCTGGGATAAACCTTTACAGAAAACTGAAGGCCTTGGGATCACATCCATAGAGAAAAGTGAGTTCTGCTGTTTCTGATCCTGATTGTCTGCAATGAATTCAGGAAGTGCCTTTGGAAAGGAGAGGGAGATCTCAGCACTGAGGTTTACAGGGTTTTTTTGATTGTGGTGCCTTTTTCAGGAGACATTATTTCATTTAACAGCCATTCCAGGAGTTTATTCTCTAGGAACACACAGTCATCCTGCAGGGAATGGCTGGATTTAAGGGATAGTGACTGGCCCGGGGGTCTTGTAGGTACTTGTTCCACTTGGGCTGTCATTTATTGTTAGAGAAGGTGTGTGGCTGTTTGCTTGATAATAATATCAGTAATAAGAAGGAGGAGAAGAAAGGGAAGAAAGAGAAGGAGAAGGAAGAGAAGAAGGGGAAGGAGGAGGAGAAGGGGAAGGAGAAGGAGAAGGGGAAGGAGGAGGAGAAGGACAAGAAGAAAAGGAGAAGAAGAACATGTTCCCCTTGAGCTCTGCAGCCATTCACATCCTCACTAGTCCAGGAAAGAAGGTGCTCTCTGGGAAGAGAAGTGCTGAACATCCCTCTCCTCCAGGTCTATCCCGGACCCAAAGCCAGTTCTGCTCCAAACCACGACAGCTCTGAAGGGACACAAACATTCCGAGCTGTGCCACGTGTTTGTCTGCAGAGTGCTGGTGAAATCCCTTCTAGTGTCATCCCAGGAAATCCCTGTTCTGGGCCTTAGAGCGATTCCCTGTCCTTTGATCCCCCTGGTGCCCGAGTTTGGGGTGCTGGGCTCTGAAATGCTGGAGCCTCTGGAAGTGCTCAGTACTGACCCTGGGTTTTGCCTTTCAGGCTGAAGCTGGGAACAGAGACCCCAAGGGAGAGGAAGGGAGCAGAGCAAGGTATGGCCTGCAAGTGTTGGGGGGTTATGTCTGCCTTTCCTTGGGGTGTCCTATCTGTGATTTGGGGGGTACTGAGCCTCTCTCCAGCCCCGCTCCACGGAAAATCCTGGTGGGAGCTCCACCAGCCGTGTCCTGCTGCTCCGCCCTCCGTGTGCTCCGGGTGTCCCTGGAGAGCCAGAGTGTTTGGGATTTCATCCAAAACCCATGGGAAACAGGAGGAAATCCTGTTTTATCACTGTTTTACTGCTCTGGCCAGGGTTTTACCCCCGGGCCTGGCAGGGGTATCTGGCTCCACGTGCTGGTAAGAGAATTTGGGGTATATTTAACCCCGATGGTTTATTTCATCCTGCAGCTCCTCCCTCTGTCACAGCCCCTGGCTCTGTTCTTTCTGTTTCCTAATTCTAAAAATGCACTGAAACTTCTTGTTCAGCTTATTAACATGAACCTCACGCTGTGATCCAGGTCCTGAAGTGATTTATAGAAATGTTTCTCTGCTCTAGAACACCAGGACCCAGAAATGGGGTTGGTTTGTGCCATTTCAAGCTGTTTTATGGATGCTGCTTGTAGTAAACTTTCTGTTTGTGGAGTAACTGTTTGTTGGGTTTAGTTCTGATCATGAATTGTGTTATAAACGGGTAGAACATTGTAAGTTTTTGTTAACAAATATGACTTAAATCACTTTCTGTCACTCAAATCCGTATTTCTGGAGAAGTTTTATTGTTAAAAAAAATTCCAAAACTCTGTAATAATGGTCCTAAATTTCAAGTCATGCCATTATACTCTCTCTATATATATCCTGCTCTATATTTCCAGAATCCCATTCCTTTCAGAAGTCGAGTTGTCATTCCTTATTCCCTGAAACTCCTCCATTTTGGGAGCGTTTAGTTCCCAAACCATCTCTTCCTCACAGCTTTGCAGCCTCACAGGGAACCTTTTGGGTTCCAGCCAGGGGGGCTTTCACTAGTGCCGTTAATTCCTGATGAACAGGTGACTCTTCCATGAATCCCAGCCCTGCTGTGGCTGCTGAACACGTGCAAAGCTGCTGTTTTCCCTACAAATACCCTTCTCCACAGTTCTCCTTTCTTCTCCTTCTGAGCCCTCGGGACTCACTTTTTTTAGTTCATTTCATAAGAAGCAGAAAACATCTTTAAATGCTATTATAGATCTGAAGACCTTCCCTGTGTTTCTGGAGAGGGAGGGATTAGTGAAATTCGGGAGGCAGAAGGGGCTGAAGAACCTCTGGAAGTTCACCTGAGCTGGGAATTCCTCACACTTGGGCTGAGCACTGATGTGCTTTCCTGGCTGCCTTTGTCTGGGATTTGTTTTACTCAGCCAGAACAGCTGAGGGTGTCTCATCCAGGTTGATATCCTGGCTCATCCCACTGCTCCTTTTCCTGCTGATTTGCTGGGTGTGGAGCAGGATGTGGCCCAGGCTCTGTGCTGGCATGGCTGGGACAGGGGCTGGATTCACCCCTCGCATCCCTGTGCAGGCAGTGCCTGGCAGGTGATCCCAGGATGCTTCCTGGGGGTCCCTCCTCTCCCCCTGCCCATCTCTCTCTGCCTCTCAGCTTGGTCAGAGCCCACGGGTGGGTTTTGGGGCCCCCCAGGGCCCTGGGAAGGCCCAGGGTGGGTGTTGGCATCACAAAACAAAGTCCTCAGGACCCAGGGAGTGATGCCTCACTCAGCTGTGACAGTCCAGGTGTGCTGAGCCCTGTGCTTGGTGTATCATCCTTGTTCCCAGACACTTCTCCATCCCTCCCAGAAGTGCCTCCACAGAGGCTGTGAGGGCAGGGCTGGAGCTTTATTTAATTCAAATCTAACCCTGGGCCTGAGCTGCACTTCGGGCCCTGACGGCCCCAGGTCGTGTCCTGCTCCACAGGCAGGGGAGACTTCAGGAAATCCCAGTGGAAGATGCTCAGACAGAAGAGGAAAGTGCATGGACACAAACAGAAATGTTTATTGATGTCAGGATCCTTTCTGTGTCCCTGCTGAGTGGACCAAGCCCATGGCATGGAGAGCAGAGGAGGGACTGAGGGCAGGAGCGTCCCCAGCCCTGCTGCCACTGGTGACAGGCAGGGCTTTTCCATATACCAGTGTTACACCGGTGCTGGGAAGGGTCTGGGAGCAGAATTCCCATCCCTTCTCCTCTGTCCACATGTTTTGTCTCCATACCCTCCCCTGGAGCTGGTGTTTGCACCATATGAATGGATTTACCTGCCCTTACTGAATCTTCCTCTTCTTACTGAATCTTCCTGTTGCTCCATGTTTGTCTCTTCATCTCCTTCTCCCTCACCTTGGCCACTTCCAGGCTTAGCATTTCCCTGAGCTGAGTCCGTTCTGTCTGGCTCCATCCCTTGCTGGAGGGGTCTGACTGAACTGGGAGGTGCTGGATGCTCCTTTGCTGGAGCTGTGTGGGATAACAGGCACAGGCATCTCTAGCTCCAGTGTCTCCCGAGGTTCTTGGGGGATTCTTTCCTTCAGAAAACAGTAACACCCATCGTGTCTCTGGAGCCCTCTGAGAAGCTCCATCCTCTGCGCTGGCACCTTGGGCTGTGTCATCCCGGAGCTGGCAGTGGGTTATCCAGGGAAAGCAGAACCCAAGGGAGCCTCTGTGCCTCTTGTGCAAGGTTTAAACCCAGAGCAACCCCTCCCTTCCCAAAAACTGAGCCCAGACCCACACCTGCTGCTCCTGGCAGAGCTCTCTGGGCTGCTGCCTGCCCGGTCTGCAGACAGAGCCAAACTGCTCATTCCTTAATCCAGAGGCACCCAAGCTTTATTTTCGTTGTACATTCACTTTCCCGCTCCGGGATGTAAATCTGGGGGGCCGTGTGAGGTCCCAGGGCACTCCTGGAACGAGGCCTGCCCGTGGGCACAAGGTGCTGGGGTGAGTCCTCAGCACCATCACATTCCTCACCTCAGCGTTCGGCAGCGCCAGCCCCGATCCCAGCGCTGGGCACTGCTGTGCTGGGAGGTGTCTGTAACTGTAGAATTCTCAACATGGTTTGATTTCTTCTGTTTCTTTTAAATGCATTTAGCGCTGGCTCGAAAAAATCTCCCGAGGGATCAGGAGTGGTGCCAAGACCAGCTGCTGATCCGCCAGGAGAGCCCAGGGGGGCAAAGAGAGGAGCCGTTCCCGCCTCCAGTGGCACGGAGGAGATTCCAGCGGGACAGACGGAGCCCCCTGAGCCCCAGCCGGGAGGAGCAGCGAGGGAATCCCCTGGAAGCCTGGCCCGGACAGACGTGGATACCGGGATGGGTGTTCCTGTGAGACCTGCTGGCACCAAATCACCTGGAGAGAGGTCAGAGGAGAAGCTGCCGCTGCCTCCCAGTGCGGGGAAGGAAGAGGCTCCGAAAGCTCCTCCTGAACCAAAGGTGCTGGAGAAGGAAGGCAGAGAGGGGGATGAAGAGTCGCCTGCCCCTGCCGTGGAATCACTGGGATCGTCCAGCAGGGCTGAGGGGGATCCAGCAGGTCGTGGGGTGGTCCCAGCAGCCGGGGAGCCAGCGGGGGCCACCCCTGGAGCAGTGCCCCCCAGGGCTGAGGAGGCTCCCACGGACACGGTGTCACCTGCTGTCACCCAGCCAGCCAGCCAGTTGGGTGCTCCTGGAAAGAGCCCCGTTCCCGAGGCTGGGAAAACCAACCCTGAAACGTCGGGAGCTCCGGTGGCCGAGAGGAAACCTGTCCCTAAAACCAGGGAGGCCCCAGGGAAGAAACTGGATGTGGCTGGAGTGGAGGAGGGTGCGCTCAAAGCTGGGCACGCTGCAGAGGAGAACCCCGGGAAGCTCTCGGACAAGGCTGGGGCAGAGCCAGAGAAGCTGCTTGGAAAACCGGCAGCCAAGGCTGGGGCTGCTCTGGAAGAGGCTCCGAGTGCCGTCGGTGGGAGCAACGTGGGAAGTTTGGTCAAGGCCCACCAAAACAAAGGGACAGGAGCAGCAAACACCAGCAGAGCCCACCCAGGGGCTCCACTGAACCCCTTCTTGTCGCTGAAGGAGCCTGCTGTGGGTAAAACCCTCCTGAGGGCAGTGGTGTCCATCCCGGATATCTTCAAGCCCAGGGCCCCAGCGAAGAGCAGCGAGGCCTCCCTGGGCAAAGGGGGGGAGCAGAAACCCCCCCCCAGAGCCGAGCCCCGGGGCCAGGCAGGGGGGGACAAGAAAACCCCCTCCAAAGCAGCTCAGCCCGCAGCGGGGAGCAGCCAGTGGAGAGGGAGCGGCAGCTCTGGAGTGGATGGACAGGGAGGCGGTGGGAGGAGCTCATCCCAGCAGGAGAAGGACTCCCAGGTGGAATCTAGGGCTGGTTCAAAACAGAGCCAAGAGGGAGAGAGTGGAACACCCAGCACGAAGGAAGACCCCGGCAGCGCTCAGGTGAGAGGGCAGGAAGGTCCCCCCTGCCGGCACTGACTCCAGGCTTTTCCCAGCCTGGGACACTGGCTCTGTGTTCCCCTTCCCTTTTCCATAAATCCGTACGAGTTGATGGGCAGCCAGTTCCTTTTATCTGCCGTGTGTGCAACACGGGGGTGGAACTGGTGGGAAAATCCTGCGGAGGTGTTCTGGAAGTGAGTGTTGGTTGTGTCATAACTGCGTGTCCTTGGAGTAGTTCCGGATAGGGGCTGAGCTGTGTCCTCTGGGGAGCTGGGATTTGCTTTGCCCAGCCCTGCACAGGCACTGGTCACCCAGAAGAGGCTCCTGAGGTGTCACCCGTGGTCGGTGGCCGGTCCCTGGAGCTGTGCCGAGCCTGGAGCAGGAGCAGCCGTGGGGACATCCCAGAGCAGCTCCTCAGGGCCAGAAACAGCAGTGTTTGGTGATGGGTTTGTCTCCTGTGAGCAGGGCAGGGGCTGACCCTGGCTCATGGGAATTTCACTCTCGTTTTGCAGGGCCCTGGTGGGAGCAGGAAAAGTGGCGCTGACAGCAGTGGGAGGCAGAAGGAGGTAAGGATGGAACCCCTGGGGGAGTGAAGGTACAGAGGGTACTGGAAGAGTGGGGGGTTTCTGAAAGGGAAAGGGAAGAAAAGGCACAAAAGCTTTGAATTTCAGATTATTTTCCTGCTGGAGGACTGGACTTAGTGTTTGTTGGTCTCTAACTCAGCAAAGCCCATCTTGCCTTGGCCTTCAAGTCCAGCTTTTCACTCATCCTGTGTTAGATACCCACTGGAATCTGAGGGTAGGATGGGATATTTGGGGCAAAAGTAAGAGAAATCAGGATTGCTGGCTGAAGAAATCGGGTGCATCATTTGGGCTGGGGTGGCCATTTGGCTGCAGCTCTTTGAACCCGGATCTGTCAATAGGCAGAGGTTTTGTCTGTTGAATGCTGTCCATTGATCCACTGGGATTTTGCGAAGTGCTTTGGTTTCCTGGATTAAATCTGAGTGAAATTAAATGAATTGGCACAAGGCTCCTCCCACGTGGGACTGGAGGCCTGGACAGTTTTTCCTACCCTCAAATTGAGTTGGTTTTCCCCCCCTGCAGGCAGGGTGTGGATGTGTCTCCCGAGGCTGTGGGTGGGGGTGAATTTGAACGTTGTATTCTCACTTTCACACTTGCCAGGAGGAAGAGCTGTTCCCGTTTAACCTGGATGAGTTTGTCACGGTGGACGAGGTGGTAGAAGAAGTGGAGTCTCCGGTTGCACTGCGGCGGAACCCCCCCAGGGGCAAGAGGAAGGACGGAGCCAAGGCCAGCCCGTCGGAGCCCGTGTCCAAGAGGAGGAAAGGGAAGAGCTCCGGGGCGGCCAAGGGGGAGCCGTCCTTCGTCACCCTGGACGAGATCGGGGAGGAGGAGGACGCGCCCGCCCCGCTGGGAGACCCGCAGGGGCTGCTGGTGGTGGACGAGGTGCTGGAGGAGGAGGAGCTGTCGGAGGCGGTGAAGGACCCGCAGGCGCTGCTCACCCTGGACGAGATCTCGGAGCAGGACGAGCTGGGCCCCCACAGGGACCTCCCCCAGCCCGAGTTCAAGGAGCAGGACCTGAAGGCCGAGCCCCTGGTGACGGTGGATGAGATCGGGGAGGTGGAGGAGCTGCCCCTGAACGAGCCCACGGACCTGAGCGGCGAGGAGGGCAAGGGCGGCGCCGGGGACTTCGCGTCCTCGCAGGTGCCCGACGACCCCACCGCCCTGGTGACCGTGGATGAGATCCAGGAGGACAACGAGGACAACCCCCTGGTGACTCTGGACGAGGTGAACGAGGAGGAGGACGATTTCCTGGCTGATTTCAACCACCTCAAGGAGGAACTGAACTTCGTCACGGTCGACGAAGTCGGGGACGAGGAGGAGGAGGAGGAGAGCGCTTCCCCGGGGAAGAATCCTCACAAGGAGGAGGAGGAGGAGGAGGAGGACATCATTGCTGTTGCAGGACCAGAAGAAGAGGAAATCGCCGCCAGTGCAGGACCAGAGGAGGAGGACATTGTTGCTGTTGCAGGACCAGAAGAAATGGGAATTTTGGGGGATCCAAATCCGGAAGAGGAAATCACTGCAGTCTCCAAGCCAAAAGGTGAGGGACCTCAGGGTCAGGTTGGATGGGGCTTGGAGCCGCCTGGGATGGTGGGAAATGTCCCAGCCCATGGCAGGGATGGGATCAGTGGGCTTTGGGTCCCTCCCAACCCAAATCATTCCGTGATTCTATTCCATTCCAATGGGCACTTCTATCTCCAGCAGCTCAGCTGGGATCAGGAGGTGCAGAACCAGAGTCCAGGCAGAAGAAAGCAGCTGTTCCAGGTGTCCCCAAGGTGCAGAGCACTCCCAGAGGTAAATCCAGAGGAACCACCCCAAACTCTCCAGGCTTTCCTGGCAGGAAGGACTTTTCTACCCATTGAAAACTCCTACAGGGCTCAGAATCCATGTTTTTTTCCTTGGCTCCTCCAAATCCATGTTTAACCAATTGAAAGCTCAACATGGAAAGTACTTTTTTCCTAAAATGTACAAATATAGGCAAATTTGTTGAGTGCTAGCACAGGGCAGTGGGATACGTCCCGAGTGTTCCTTTTCCATAAAACTGCTGAGAACACTGGAACTGGAAAGGGAGTTGCTGGGAACATCTGGCTCCTGGTCTGATGGCTTGGGGGACGTGCCCTGGGAGGATGGGGCTGGTGGGCAGAGCCACGCGTTGGAGTGGAGATAAAACACTTCAAAGGCCAAAAGATGCCGAGGAAGTTGCAGGGACCTTGAGATCCAGAGAAATTCCCAGAAACTGATGTGGTTATTGACCGTGGAAATGGTGTGTGGATTGGCACAGGGACCAGCTCGATTGACAAACCGGGGTTTTTGAAGGCTGAAAAGCTGCGATTCCTGCCCAGGAACACCAAATTCCCCGGGTTGGGGGAGGGACTGTGGGGTTGGGACGTTTGTGGGGCTGTGTGTGGTGACTGTGGTGTGCTGCTCCCCCAGCTCTGGACATGCTGGTCCCCCAGGCCGGCTTCTTCTGCCAGATCTGCTCCCTGTTCTACGCCGACGAGCCCTCCATGATCAACCACTGCCGCACCGCCCTGCACCGGCACAACATGGAGGTACCATCACACCTGGGGACAGGGAACGGCCCCAAAGCCGGGTCTGGGGGGGCTCAGAGCCCCCTGGCACCACGGGCAGCTCGTGGTCACCCCTGGGGGGGTTTGGGAACACACAGCCTGGGGGAATATGGAATGTTTTCTGTTCCATGCCCAGCTGTCACTGTGGGGAGTCCTGATCCCTGGGGTTTGGCCACATTCCCCTCGGGAGCTTCCCAGGCCGTTTGCTCGGGAGCCAGGCCGGGCTGTTTTGGGGCAGATCCCACCCTGGCAGAGGGAGGAGCAGGCTGACCCTGAGCCCAGCTGTTGTGACACCTGCCCTGCCTGTGGACATGACCCTGAGATATCCCTGCAGCGTCCTCTCCCCTTGTTCCCACAGAAATTCATGGCCAAGCAGCAGGATAACGACGGGGAAGAGCCGAGCTCCAGGTGATGGAGGACAGAGGGACCCCCCGGTGCCCGACGCTTCGGGGCCGCTCAGTTCTGTGTGTTTGGGTTCCAGTGGTCGTTTGGGGTCAGGAAGGAGCGTCTGTGGCGTGGAAATCGGAGCTGGGAGGAGACCCCAGAGCTGCTGGGCTGGATTTGCGTCTCCAGTCACCCGAGGTGGGACAGAGCAGTCCCAGTGTCTGCAGGAAATAAATGTTCTCACTGTATAGTTACCCCAGGGTTGTCTTTGGGGTCATTCCTGGGGGTCTGGTAACTCTGGGTCACGCTGGAGAATCCAGGGGATCGATGGAGCAACTCCAGTGGAGAGCTGGGAAGGGGCTGGAGCAGCAGGAGGGGCTGAGGGAGCTGGGGGGGCTCAGCCTGGAGAAAAGGAGGCTCAGGGGGGACCTTCTGGCTCTGCAATCCCTGACAGGAGGGGAGAGGCGGGGAGGGGTCGGGCTCTGCTCCCAGGGAACAGGGACAGGAGGAGAGGGAACAGGGAAAATTCCTCCTGGAAAGGGCTGTCCCCCCTGGGCAGAGGGGAGTCCCCATCCCTGGAGGAATTTAACAACCCTGTGGATGTGGCACTTGGGGACATGGCCTGGGGTGGCCCTGGCAGTGCTCGGGGATGGTTGGATTCAATGGTCTCAGAGGGCTTTTCCAACCCAAACAATTCCATGATTTGCTGATTCCCAGACTCTCTGCCCTGCACTCCAGCCTGTCCCCCTTGTCCTGTCCCCAGCCATGTGTCTCACCCTGCCCCAGCCCTGTGTTTTGTGGTGACATTCCCACCTCAGGGACCCCTCCTGAGCTCCCAGCCCCTCCCCCAGACTCACTAAAAGCCAAAGGAGCCACAGCAGGAATTCCTTGGATTCCTGTAATTTATTTCCTGGTGGCTGGGGCGTGTGGCACCCACTGTGTTTCTGGGGAGCACACAGGGGCACTGGTTCTCCCCGTGGGCTGCAGTGGGGTGGGTGGGGAAGGGGAGGCTTGGATTAATAACTCCCTGGGGAAGTTGAACTTCCCTAAGCTGGGTCCTGGTGGGGCTGGAGAGCAGGGGATGGGGAAGGCCCTGGAGGCCAAGGTGGGCAACGAGCCTGGGCTGGAGGGTGCTGAGCCCTGGCACAGGTGGGCAGAGTGGAGATGTGTTCCCTGTTCTGCTGGCTTGTCCTTGGCACAGCCCCTGGGCAATGCAGCCTTTCACACTGAGCCATCTCTGGGTTGATTATCCACTGGGAGAGATCTTTGGATCCACTGACCTCCCCCTGGCACCGCTCTTGGTGTCTCTTGGCTTGTCCTTGGCACAGTTCCTGGTCAATGAAGTGTTCCATCTGGGACATCTCCTGGTTGATTAATTCCTCCCACTGGGACAGCGCTTTGTATCCACTGACTCGCCCTTGGCACAGCTCCTGCTGTCTCTTGGCTTTCCTTTGGCACAGCTCTTGGTCAATGTATCCTTCCATTTGGGACATCTCTTGGTTGATGAGGGCTTCCCACTGGGACAGATCTTTGTACCCCTCGACTTCCCCGTGGCACAGCCCTTGGGATCTGTTGACCTGCCCTTGGCACAACTCTTGGCCAGTGTAACCTTCCCCCTGGGACGGTGCTTTGTGTCCTCGGCACCGGTCCTGGTGTCCCTTGGCTTTCCTCTGCCAGGGCTGCTGCTCCATGAGTTCTTCCAGCTGGGCCATCTCTCGGTGGATTAGGGCTGACCACTGGGACAGATCTTTGTATCCGTTGGCCTTCCCCTGGGCCAGGCTGGAGCTGGGCTTTGCCTTCCCCACGGGCATCTCCATCCTGCTGTGCCGCAGAGGGATCCGGGAGCTGCTGCCTCCGCAGGGAGGGGCTCTCCTGGGAGTGGCACCCCCAACCCCCCAGGCTCACAGTGGCCCCCAAGTCACAAAGGGACATCCCAGCACCCCAACAGCCACGGAACCACCTGGAACCTTCAGGAACCAGCCTGGGGCACCCCTGGACCTGCAGCCCCCGGTGTGCCCAGGCTCAGGTGAGTCTGGGGGTGCAGAGGGATCTGTTCCCCACCTCTGCAGGGGGATTTGTCCCCACCACGTGCAGGTGACACCACAGCAGGAGGGGACCCCCAGGGGGACACATCTGACAGGTGGCACCACGAGAAGCTCAGGAGGTTGAGCCGGGCCAGGTACAGGGGATGCACCTGGGTCAGGGCAATCCTGGCTGGCATTGGGAGCATCCCTGTGGGAAGGACCTGGGAGTTCTCATCCAGTGCCCCTGCGCTGCCAGGGCCTGTCCCAGCAGCACCAGCACGGGTGGGCGGTGGGTTCGGCCCCATTGCTGACCCCCCGGTGTCTGTGGGGTGCTGGGGGGGCCAGGGCAGCATCCAGTGCGATTCCTGCCAGGACACCCCGCGGCGCCTTTAAGGCATCTCTGCGCTGGGCTCTGGCAGCGCTGGGGGCCGGGACGCAGCCCTGAGCCCCAGCCAGCGGCACCAGGAAATTCCTGACAGCCCGGCAAGTGCTGAGCAGGCACAATCGCAGAGCCGGGCGGTGTGCCTTGGCCCCGGGAGCCGGGAATGGGGCCAGGAGCGGCCGGAGAGGGGCCGGGACTTCTGCAAACCTCGAAAGTGCCGTCACGTGGGGGCTGAGTCACGGCCGCCCCTCCTGGGCCCTTTCCAGGGCCTCGGCAGGATGCGGGAGATGCCTCGGGGCAGAACAAAACCCTTCCCAGCATCCAGCCCTGGGAGACGGACGGGGAACGGCTCCGTCCTGAGTGCCAGCCCCGTCCCCGCTCCCAGCCTGGATGGGCAAGGAGCATCCCTGGGTCATAGGGGGACCCATCCCAGAGGAGCATCCCCGGGGGATGCAGACCCGAAGGACCTCATCCCTCAGGAGCACCCCGGGATGTTGTAGGACCAAAGGACCCGTCCCGTGGGAGCACCCCCGGGTGACACAGGGCTGCAGGATCCCGTCCCACTCCCCCCTCAGCCGAGCAGGGCTCTGGGACAGATAGGATGTGGCAGAGGGAGCGGGGCCAGGGATGGGAGCGGGGCCAGGGATGGGTGCGGGGCCAGCTCTGCCCCCCGCCCGGCCCGGTGACCGCGGAGCTGCCCCCGCGGGGTGTCCGTGGCTCCCTCCCTGCCCCCTCCCCGGCTCCACAAAATCCCAATAAAAGAAGGAAAAGGCAAGCCAGGAAAGTTTCTTTAGGGCGGAAAATGAGCTCCTCTAAGTCTGGCGGCAGCTCGGGGGACCCCGCGCGGGGGGGGGGAGAGGCAGGACCCGGACCCTTCCCCGGCACCCCGGCCCTCACCCCCCGCTCCCAGCCGGGCACTGCGGGGGTCCCGGGCCGCCCCTCCCCGCCGGGCCCGACCCCTCCGCCCGCACCGGCGGCTCCGGGACCCGCCGGGTCCCCGGGCTCGGCCGGCGGGGCCACTGCGGCGGCGAGGAGGGGACCCCCGGGACCCCCGGGCACCCCCGGCGTGGGGAGGGGGCATGGGGACACGGTGACGGGACAGTGGGGACACCGCCGGGGGTGGGGACAGTGAGGACATGGTGATGGGACGGTGGGGATACAGGGGTGGGACAGGGGGGCACTGCGGGGGGTACTG